GTCTCTAATCCATCTCTAACCTGTCTCTAATCCATCTCTAACCTGTCTCTAATCCATCTCTAACCTGTCTCTAATCCATCTCTAACCTGTCTCTAATCCATCTCTAACCTGTCTCTAACCTGTCTCTAACCCATCTCTAATCCATCTCTAACCTGTCTCTAACCTGTCTCTAACCCGTCTATAACCTGTCTCTAACCCATCTCTAATCCATCTCTAACCTGTCTCTAACCCATCTCTAACCTGTCTCTAACCTGTCTCTAACCCGTCTATAACCTGTCTCTAACCCGTCTCTAATCCATCTCTAACCTGTCTCTAATCCATCTCTAACCTGTCTCTAACCTGTCTCTAACCTGTCTATAACCTGTCTCTAACCTGTCTATAACCTGTCTCTAACCTGTCTCTAACCCATTTCTAACCCATCTCTAACCCATTTCTAACCCATTTCTAACCTGTCTCTAACCTGTCTCTAACCCGTCTCTAACCCATCTCTAACCTGTCTCTAACCTGTCTCTAACCTGTCTATAACCTGTCTCTAACCTGTCTATAACCTGTCTCTAACCTGTCTCTAACCCATTTCTAACCCATCTCTAACCCATTTCTAACCCATTTCTAACCTGTCTCTGACCTGTCTCTAACCCATCTCTAACCCGTCTCTAACCTGTCTATAACCTGTCTCTAACCCGTCTAACCTGTCTCTAACCTGTCTCTAACCTGTCTCTAACCTGTCTCTAACCCATCTCTAACCCGTCTATAACCTGTCTCTAACCTGTCTCTAACCTGTCTCTAACCTGTCTCTAACCTGTCTCTGTCCTCAGGAGCAGTACGTCTTCATCCACGACGCTATCTTGGAGGCGTGTCTCTGTGGAAACACTGCCATTCCAGCCAATCAGCTGCGCTCAGTTTACTATGAGATGAACCGATTGGACCCTCAGACCAACTCATGTCAGGTCAAAGAGGAGTTCAGGGTAAGACATGTTCACATGTTTATATTTATACATGTTCATATGTTTACAACATGTTTATATTTGTACATGTTCATATGTTTACAACATGTTTATATTTGTACATGTTCATATGTTTACTTTACAACATGTTTATATTTTTACATGTTCATATGTTTACTTTACAACATGTTTATATTTGTGAATGTTCATATGTTTACAACATGTTTATATTTATACATGTTCATATGTTTACAACATGTTTATATTTGTACATGTTCATGTGTTTACAACAGGTTTATATTTGTACATGTTCATATGTTTACTTTACAACATGTTTATATTTATACATGTTCATATGTTTACAACAGGTTTATATTTGTACATGTTCATATGTTTACTTTACAACATGTTTATATTTATACATGTTCATATGTTTACAATATGTTTATATTTATACATGTTCATATGTTTACTTTACAACATGTTTATATTTGTACATGTTCATATGTTTACTTTACAACATGTTTATATTTGTACATGTTCATATGTTTACTTTACAACATGTTTATATTTGTACA